AGGGCCGTAGTCTTACACTTTTAACTGGGCCACCAGAGAGGCCTGGCTGTGATATCTTAATAGAATGGAAAGTTCCAACACTTCACAACCTAGGTGCTCACTGCTCTGTTTTTAGAAGCTTGAATCTCTTATCCCTCTGGCATGAAGACCCCAATAATGGAGTGCAGGATGTGGCTAGTTAGTGCTGCTCGGGGCTAAATGTCCCTTCCTGATCGCCACTGCTGGATCTTTCGCCCTGCCCTAGGATCTCACCACTGAACTGAGCTGGGAGCTGACCATCCCCCCGGAAGTGCAGCGCATCGTCAAGGTGAAGGGGAAGCGCAGCAGCGAGCACGTTCATTCCCAGGGCCGCGTCATGGGGGACCGCAGCGTGCTGTACAAGGTGGGCACAGCAGTCTGGTGGTGAGCAGAGAAGCAAGGTTGGAGGGCACCTGCAGAGCTAGTAGATGCACGCCCTGGAGCAAGTCACTCAGTCCGTGGCGCCTTAGCTTACTGACTGACCTGGCCATCGTACGCTTTCCTCGGGGGCTGTAATGATCACGTGAGATAGTTGCGCTTTGCCCAGTGCCTGCCATGGGGCCGCTACCCAGCAGAATCTAGGTGTTTGCTGCTCTTACTTGTGCAGCACAGAACTTTCTGGAGTTAAACCTTAGCTGCCCCGTCAGCATCACAACCTTTGTGATCCAGAACTCTAACAATCAAGGGAGGGGGACAATGACTAGGGGCTGCAGAACCCTGTGAGGCAGTGTGACTGTCGTGGTGTCGATTTTAATGGCACCCTCTGGGAGAGCAGGGGCTGAGCTGGAGGGATGTAACAACAGGCCAGCAAGGCTCAGGAACTTGATGGGAAGCTGTTTGACTAAGCATGAGGCAGGGTCAGGGCAGCAAGCCAGTGGGCGTGTCCAGGGTCAGACACACACTAGCTCTTAGTGGCCGGTGATTTGTTGGGGCCAGTGGAACCTACATCCGAGCACGGTCCTGAAGGTGAAAGCCGCCGTTTCGCAGTGGCTGCGCGGCCGGGCTCCGGTGAGTGCTCTCCCTGGGTTATTTGATGGCCGCCTGCCGAGTGGCTGCAGCAGCTTTACTTGTTCGGAATGACCAACGCAACACTCATTCTGAAGCGCGTTTTTGACTCATAAAAATTATATCCGTTGTGTGATTTTACCTTTAGGAAGTAAAACTTACTGGAACGCTTGTATTTTCTCATGCTGAAATGAATAGTAAGTAGAAATAGGGCCTTTGGGTTTACGCTTGTTATACGAGTTTTAGGTTTACTTTTTTTGAACATAAGCCTCTTTTCTTGGATTAATTTTAGATTTACAGAAAAGCCGCAAAGATAGTACCTGGAATTCCTGTGTGCCCTGCCCTGCCCTGTTCATCTGTCTGAACTAACCCACACTGGCACAGGACGGTGAACTAAGCTGCGGACTTAGTTGGGGTTTCACCACTTTCCCACAGTGTCCTCCTCTGTCCTGCCAGCCAGCCTCCACGGCCAGTCATCAGTCCCTTTATTTTGCTGCCCTCTGGGTTTTCCAGGCTTTGTGTGTTCCGAGACCTTGAGAGTCTTGAAGGGTACTAGTTAGGGTACAGTGAGCAAAACTGTCCCCCAGTTTTGCTTTGTCTGATATTTTTCTCGTGGTTAGATGTAGTCATGGTTAGATGTAGATGGCCCTTTGTGGAAGGAATACCACAAAAGAGAAGCTGCGATTTTTATTATTATTATTATTATTTGAATGCCAGCAGGATGCCAGGCATACTTGTTGACACTGAGCTCTTCAGTGAATAGAAGAGATGAAATTTCCCATCCTCTTGAGTCTTCCATTGGGGTTGGGAAAGGCAATAACCAAGAAAATAACTAGGTAAATTTTGTAGCACATCAGAGAGCAACCAGTTTTGTAGAAAAATACCAAACCTAGAAGAGGGGGAAGGAATGCTGGCTGGGGGATACAATTTAAAGCAGGATGGCGACGAGGATCTCCTTGGGAAAGTGACACATGAAATTGAAGGAGCGAGGAAGTGAGTTTTAACATCTGGGGGAGGACCCGTTCACAGCATGCCTGGAGTGTTCCAGAGCCATCAGGGCACATACGTGACCAGAACAGGGTCAGTGGCACGCCACACCCCGCAAACCCTCATTGTCGCAGCGATACTGAAATCGGATAGGAAGGTCTTCTGATGAGAAAACTTCACCCCTGGCCAGGCCACTGAGCACCCGCTCTGCCCACCATCCAGGCTCAAAGTTCAGGGGAGCTACTGCTGGCTACTTTGTCTCTCGCCAGAGCCTGAACCCCAACCTGCTGGCTGTGGTGACGGAGAGCACAGACGTGCACCACGAGCGCACCTTCGTCGGCGTCTTCCTGGTCGACGGTGTCACCGGGCGCATCATCCACTCCTCCGTGCAGAGGAGAGCCAAGGGCCCCGTCCACATCGTGCACGCGGAGAACTGGGTGGTGGTAAGAGCGGCAGAGAGACCGGGTCGCCGCCAGGGGCATGACGTAGCTTGAGAGTGTGTGGCCCGTCTCCTGCCAGTTAAATTCCTCCTCTGTCCCCGGCCAGAAACCAGTTGCTGCTTTGCATTTTCAGAGGCTCCGGAGCCCTTGGGGTGGGGCAGGCTCAGGGTCAGCTCCCCGGGTTTGATCCTGGCTCTCTCGTTCCTTGCTTTGCGACCTGGAACTTCATATTTAATAAAAATAGTTGCGCCTCCCTTCAGCCCCTCCAGAAAATCACCTCATCTAGTTTAGAACAGTCCTTAGCACACAGTAAACACTCAAACACTATTCTGGTTTCTAAGGTACTAGAAAATTCCTCTGTGCTCTGGCCAGCTTTGGATGGCCTAGATTAAACCGCCCTGAGAGCCAGAAAATGTGGTAGACTGGGCTGTGCGTGTGGTGTTCCTACCGGAATGTGAGCGGACGAGAGGTGCCTTTTTGTGGAATCCCCTCTCCCGGTCGAACCAGCGTCTGACCCCGTGCTGCCCTCTCTCTGCAGTACCAGTACTGGAACACCAAGGCCCGGCGCAACGAGTTTACCGCTCTGGAGCTCTACGAGGGCACGGAGCAGTACAATGCCACCGCCTTCAGCTCCCTGGACCGCCCCCAGCTGCCCCAGGTCCTCCAGCAGTCGTATATCTTCCCCTCCTCCATCAGCGCCGTGGAAGCCACCATCACCGAGCGGGGCATCACCAGCCGGCACCTGCTCAGTGCGTGTTGGGGGCGCGGGGCCTGGTGGGCAGCCCCTAGAGGACAGGGCTGGGGGTGCGTCGCCCACAGAGTTCCATTTGGCCACTGTCAGGGAAGGCTGGCGAGGAGGATGTGTCAGCAGAGAAAGTTCCTTGCAAAAGCCTTCCCTCCTAAAAGGTGCCACGCCTGGTCCTCTCCTAGCCGTTTCTGGTGACCAGCATCACTCACCTGCTCTGAGTTTGGCCTCATTCAGAAAACCAAGCCCTGATTTCATTCCAACCAGTAGCCTGTGCTGCTCTGCAAAACCGGAGCGGTGTCTGGTGGCATCCTCGCGTGGGCAGCGTCCTGCGGCGTGTAACGGCCGCTCAGTCCAGCTGGCTGTGTTAGAGATGGGGGGGCTCTCCGCCCGGACAGGCACTTGGTGGGGCTTCCATTCTAAAATGTGAGAAGCCGGCCCTCAGCAGTTTCCAGGCTTAGTCCCCACTGGTCCTGAGTTCATGTCGCATGGCAGGGACAGGTGTTCGGGAGGACGGGGAGTGGGTGACAAGGCCCAGATCGCCTCCTGTGCGCCTCCCTGGTTGTCACCCATTTCTTTTTCTTTTTTTGGTAAAGATTGACTTATGCATTCAAGAGCTGGGGTACAAGCCAGAGGTGCGGGGTAGGGGCTGGGAGAGTACATCAGAGACTGAGCGGGGAGCAGAACAGGCAGATGGACTGAAACACACTGCTGAGGGAAGCATGGAGAGACGGGAGAGGCCTGCTGCGCCCTGTGGGTCAGCTCCCTAGTGCTGCAGTGGCTGCAGATAGCGTCATAGTGCTGAGTGTTACCTGTTTCTTAATTCTAGAACGTTATTAAAATGTGGGAAAACCTCTGTTCAGACCTATGCATGTTACTGGATTATTGGTTTTGACCATTTAATGGATCCTCCCCCTAATTTTTGGCTTCCATTATTTTACATTTCTGTGATAGTGACCTTTTAAAAACAGCCCTCATCTGGATTGGATCATGTGAATACTCACTTCTGCTGACTTCTTTCTGTGCAGTTGGGTTACCGTCCGGTGCAATTCTTTCCCTTCCCAAGGCCTTGCTGGATCCCCGCCGTCCTGAAATCCCAACAGAACAAAGCAGGTGAGGCCCTTGCTGGCAGTGCTGAAGACGCTGGCCTTGAGGAACTTTGCCTGATGATGAGTCTTGGCCTGCAGTGCTGAGCTGCCATGCTGGGGGTGAGGGATTGAATGGGACCCAAGTCTGATAATGACCCAAGTCCGACAATGACGTCTGCCCTCCTGGAACTTCTATTCTGGAAGGGAGATGGGTGGGAAATACGAGGAACAGGTGAAATACATATGTCAGTGCTTGTAAATGCTAAGGGGAAAAAATGAGAAAGTGTAAGGGTTATGAAGCATGAGGGCGGGATGTATCATTAGTGAATTTTGAGAAGGGTGACTTGGGAAACCGCATTGAACAGGTGATGTTTGAGTAAAAAGCCAGTGGAGGTAAGAAGCAACAACTTATGGAAATCTGGGGAGAACGTTGGTGCAAATGCCCCGAGGTTTCTGGCAAGTCGGTGGGAGTCCAGGAGGCCAAAGAACATGGAGGGGTGCTAGGAAATGAGGGTGCTGGTGGCCCCATGGGGAGGCCAGTTGCTTATTCCTGTCAGTGTGAATGTATTTATTTCCTGCCATCACCCCTGCAAATTTTCTCAACTGCATCCTGAATTCCTTCCTCTGTGGGGTATGAAGAGCTGTGAGCGGGTCTCGCTGCCTGTGAGGGCAGGAGGGTGTGGTGAGAGAGGGAGGCGAGGGCTGGGCGTGCGTTACGAGCGTTTTCAGAGGACGAGGCACGCCTGGAGCGAAGCACGGGAACTGACCGCGTGTCTGTGTTAAGTTTAGCGGCCCTGACTCTCCTGCTCCTGTGAGATACTGGGTCTCTGTGTGTTACTTTTTGTTGGTAGCCTTATTACAAAGTAGGAGCCCATCTCTGCCTTAACTCTCCACGCCCTTCCTACATGCACACCCTAAATGTTTAACTACTCAGTGCAAGTAGAGCTCGCTGGAGATTGGAGGCGAGATACTGCTGGTGACCTGGAAATCTCCCATGACTCAGGGGGCAGCCAAGAGATTCCCTTACAGCCCTTTTGAGTGCTGCTCCCGGCTGATGTTTTGCAGAGAGGAGAACCTCATTCCGTATTCCCCAGATGTGCAGATACACGCAGAGCGATTCATCAATTATAACCAGACGGTTTCTCGAATGCGAGGTATCTACACAGCTCCCTCGGGCCTGGAGTCCACCTGTTTGGTGAGTAGAGCCAGAGCCCAGGCTGTGCACCTTCCCCACAGTCACCCTGGGTGTTACCTGCTCTATTTCACCCCTGGGAGAACACTGAGGATTCTGTTCCTTTCTTACCTGGGCTTTGGTGGCAGATCACTGGTCGCCTGACCCTTCTTAGGTGTTTCTTGACCCTCTGCTTCTGCCTCCCAGGTGGTGGCCTACGGCTTGGACATCTACCAAACGCGCGTCTACCCCTCCAAGCAGTTTGACGTCCTGAAGGATGACTATGACTACGTGCTGATCAGCAGTGTCCTCTTCGGCCTGGTTTTCGCCACCATGATCACTAAGAGACTGGCACAGGTGAAGCTCCTGAACCGTGCGTGGCGGTAAAGCCTGAGGACCCCTGCCAGGGAGTGCCCCAGGGGGCCCGGCAGGGCGAGCAGCAGCGGCATGAGATGGGTCGGCGCTCACAGTCGTGGGGCAGAAGATGGACTTTCACGGAGGCGCCTGTGGGAGCCACTGCCGCAGAGCGACCCACGGGAAGAGGCTGCCAGCCCTCGCTCTCCCAGCTGGGCCCTCCCAGCGTCTCACTGGCCTTTGCCCTGAGCCCCAGGGCCACTGCCTTTTGCCCTCTTTGGCAGTCCATGAGCGTTGCTCCCCACCCCATTTTTTTTTTAAATTGTGAGGCCTCCAACAGATTTTTCTCTTTTGTGAGACCTATTTAAATTGATTTTTCTTTGCCCTGTGTCCCAGGTTTATCTAGAAGCCCTTCAGACTATCTCCCTGTCACTTGCTTCACAGTTGGAAGCTCTTACCAGTAACTCCGCAGGATTAGGCCCACGTGCTGTTTTACGGGGAGGAAGAAGACCCGCCCTTAGCTGAGGTTTGAGGACTGACAGACCTCCCAGGGCTCTCTCCAGAGTAGGTTAGGGCTGGGGAATCTACCGGCCATCAAACCGTGTTTTAACTGAGCCTCTAGTTATGCGATCTCGGGGCGGAGCCACCCGTCTGCTTCAGGTTGTCAGAAGCCAAGTGCACAGTCGCCTCTTGGTCGGTCACGGCCTCTGGTTTTCATCTGACATGCTAGAGCTGAGCCTCAGAGTACTGAGTCGCCTGAACCCTGACTCCACGTCAAGGGGGGCGAATCTGCCCATCAGCAGGCTGACCTGCTTGTCTTTTCACCTCAGTTGGCCTTTTTAAGAATCTCATTATTTATTTTTGGTTTTAGATAGAAGTTGGCCTGTTTCAAATCTGATTGTGGCTTTAAGGAGGCGAGAAAACGGTAGGGGCGGAAGCTGGTGGGTGCGGATGTGGTGAGGCGGGGCGGCCGCTGGCTCTGCTTTAAATTAAAGAGGTCCTCCAGGTGTTCCCTTATTCACGCACTTGGGGAGGATGGAGTGTTTTTTTCCCTGTGGAGACTGAAATGTTCAGAGACTAGACCATCTCTAGCCCTGTGGGGACATGCAAGTGTCTGAATAAAGCTAGTGATGAATGATGTTTAAGTCCTTTTTTTTTGTGGCTCAGGAAGATCACTTTGAGGCTGCTTTTGCATCGAGAGATCAAGAGCTGCAGAAATGGAGTGAGGGCATCCAGTTTAGGTATACAAGCATTGTGTTATTTACAAAGTTTTTTTTAAGCTTTGTGTTTATATGCTGATGATGGCAGAGAAGAAAAGTAAAATAATCTTAGTAATAAAATTGTGAAATTGATTTTAATGCATGAGCACACATCTAAGTTGCTCCAGAAATAACTGGCCTCTATTCGTCCTGGCTCAGGGCCTGTTTTGTTTAACATGAGTTGGGAGATCGCAGTAAGTATAAGTTAAAACAGTTCTGCCCTAGTTTTGAAAACCTGGCTGGAATTGTGACTGCCCTAGATAAATACGTGCTGGCTGTCACTCTGTTCTGCCCACACTGCCCAATCCTTAAGGCCCCGATCCATTTCCAGATCGCAGAGAACAAGCCAGTGGGAGGGGAGTTATTTCCCTTTTACAGCATTTCCTGTCTTTTGGTTTCAGTCATGATCACTTTACTGAAAGTTACCTCAAGCAGCCGCTAACGGCGTTGGCAGACCCAGGCGCTCTCAGTCTGGAAGCAGCACTTGCTTCCTCCTCTGGCTCGAACCTGTTTCCTCTTGATCCTCTGACCCTTAGTGCTTTGGCTTCCCTTTTTCTGTGTGTGCATCTCCCCTGAGGCACCTGCCCCCCGATCATTAATTAGGTTAGTGTAGCGGCTTCCCTGCTTTCCTTCACTAAATAAGGGCAAGTTATTCAGATTTTTCTGTCATTAAGAAAATATTTTAGTCAACATAAAGATCTTTTGGAGTAAAGTTTTATAGCCAAGTGGCACAGGATGATTTTTCATTCCTGTTGGGGAATGATGTAAATGGTGACTTTTAAGTTTTCCTTAGTCTATGACTCTGGACAGGACTCAGTGATTGGGGAACAGGCATGAATTAAATACAGTTGCAGTTATAAATGAAAGATTCAGGTTCAGTAAGGACCTTTGTATATATATATTTTTAAAGATTTATTTATTCATACAGAACTGGGGTACAGGCCAGAGATGTGGAGGGTGATAGGATTCACCAGAGACAGAGTGGGGAGCAGAACAGGCAGATTGATGAAGTACACTGCTGAGGGGAGCAGCGGACAGGTCAGGAGAGGTCTGCCCCGCCATGTGGACTCCTTCGGGGCAGCGGGAATCGAACTCTTGTGGAAGTGGCTTTAGCTTCTTAATGCTGTGCTTTTAACCCGCTGCACCACCTGGGAGGGCCCCCTTTCTGTATTTTTTTGAGAATTTTTTTTTTGGGTAGGACAGTTCTTTGAAGCGGTTCATGCCTGTTCCTCTCCCCTCATCTCCAGCAAAGAAAGGTGAGCAAGCTAGTAGATGGATAATGTGGTTTCACCGGCATAAATTGGGATGACTAATAAACAGCCCTGACATTTAATACCAAAATAAGTTATAGAATGAAACATTTTTGAAACCCAAATAAATGTGTTGGCTTTCCTGCGGTATTTTTGCTTAGAATCCACAGTTCTGAATTGCACATTAACTCATTGCCTGTCTCCGGAGTAGAATTTTGACCTCTGCTTGCCCTTTGGCCTGCTTCTGGAAGATGTTCTTCTGGCCTTCAGTTTAGCCAGATAGCCTGCCAGGCTCTCATTACTTTCTTTTATCTTTGAGTAAACTGGACTGAACATTGTGTCCATTTGGGTGTCCAGCGTGTTACTCTGATAGCTCCCCACTGCAGTGGGCCACTGCCACAGATGTATGCACATGCCGTCACTGCTGTGGCAGGTCTTGTTACGTCTCCAGGGCTTATTTGCTGCTGTAGCAGGTGTGTTGCCTTGACTTCCTTAACCCTCCACTCCATCCCCAGCCTCCTGTCACAATCATTTTATTTTACTGTTTATTTACAGGTTTGGTTTTTTTTTATCTTCCACATGTAAATGATGTCATACATTACTTTTTCTGCATTATCTCAAGGAACATAACTGTGCTCCAGGTTCGTCCATGTGGCCACCAATGGCAAGATAAACTTGTACGGCGACGTGACGCCATTGTATGTGCACACCATTTTGCCCACTCCTTCATGGACAGGCATTGGGTGGTTTCACTATCTGGGCTGTTGTGAGTGATGCTGTGATAAACATGGCATAGAGATGTTGCCAAAACCCAGTTTTCATTTCCTGTGGCTAAGTACTCAGAAGTGGGATCACTAGATGGTGTGTTGCTCTATTGATGTTTTGAGGATCTTCCACATTGTTTCGGACCAGTTTATATTCCTAGCAACAGGTCTTCATCATTTCCTCACCAACTGCTGGTTCTTCTTCAGAGCTGTCTCACAGAATGTTATTTCTCTCCCCAGCTAACCTGGTTGCTAAATGTGGCCCCTGCATATCTAGCAAGACAGAATAGCTGTAGGCTAGTATTTCACCTTGTTACAAAAGCACAAATGCAAATGATACATAATAAAATGAAAATGAACAGGAAACGGAGAGCAGAAAGGAGAATAGCAAAAAGGTGACTGGTGTGACCATGTGTGGTGGAGACTTCATTTACAATCCCTTTTTTAAATATTTATTTATTCATGTATTCAGAACTGGGGTACAGGCCAGAGGTGCAGGGGTGGTGAGAGGATTCCCCAGAGACAGCAGGGAGCAGAACAGGCAGACTGATGAAGTCCACTGCTGAGGGGAGCAGCGGGCGGGCCAGGAGAGGTCTGCTGTGCCATGCGGGTCACCCCCCCTCGCTTGGGATGCAACTTGTGCTGCAGTGGCTGCAGACAGTGTCACAGTGCTCACTTTAACTCGGAGTGCCACCAGGAGGGCTTTTTTTTTTAAACAGCTCTAAAAGCAGCCCCTAGATTAAGCCAGATACTGGCTTTGAGGATAGTGTTTTATCATAGCTTATTCTCAGGAATGGATTTTACAGCTTGGTGCTAGATATATTTTAAGAGATGTTAAAAACTTGATCATATTATTTAATTCTGCTTTTTTTTAAACTAATTTATCTTCACTTTGTATTCACAAAGATGATCTAAATTTGTTTTGGATCAAAGCAATAGAAAAAAATACTAAACTTCTAAAAGTCTATCTAGGAGACGTTAATGCAAGATTGAACGTGTTTCCATTGTTAAAGGGCATAGGTTACAAGGTCTTTGTGCTAGAAAATTTGAGATTGGTAATTTTACTGTCTTAATTGCAAGGGCATATAAAATAAATTATAGTGATCAGAATCATCCCAAAGCTTTATTTCTGGTTTCTGCTCACTTAAAATTTGGTTTTTAAGTCATGAGATTAAGCTTTCTCTATCCTTTACTTGGAATTTTTTTTTTCCCTTTGCAAAAATCTGACCTCTCCCAAATCTTTTAACCACTCCATCATGCCTTCCCTGTTCATTCTGGCTACTCAGGACCGCTGTTTCCTGACTACTAGCCACACAACTTCCTGAATGATGTATCCATTTACTATTTCAGTTACTCTCAAGGATTGTAACGCTTTTCTGAACTTCCCATTATCTTAAATACAAACTTGCTACTTGGCAGGTGGTTCCCTAACTGACTAGAGCTTCTTCATAGAAGTCTTAGGGCATGAGGTAGGAGATGGCATCTTTTTGCTTTTATGTACACGTTTATATATCCAAAAAGAGTTTGGATTACTTAGATTCTAGGTGCAGATTGGCTTTATAAAACAATACTTATAACAAGTATCTTATTATTTCAAAAACAGACTACTTATTATTCCATAATCAAAATAGATACCTGTGTACTTTTTTTTTTAAAGTGAGCGGAATCAGCTGAGTTGTCTTTCAGTATAGAAAGACTGGTATTCTAGATAAATGAACTGCTTAAATTTTGGTCACCAAGTTCTTTATTTTAAAAGGCTAAAAGAAAAAAAAGTGCCAAAGAATTTAAGGCAAATTTCCCTGTTAGCTCATTCCCTCCCCTCCATTTTCCTAACCACCGAACCATTTGGTAAGTCTCCATGTAATTAATATAACATTCTGCAACTTGATTTTATCACTGACACTATATCATGGAGGGCTTTCCAAAAATAGTGATAATATGGATTGGATTGGCTTTTTTTTTTTTTTTTTGGTGGTCACAACACAAGATTGCAATTCCTTTTTTTTTTTAAATAAAGATCTATTCATCTATACACACAGAATTGGGGTACAGACCAGAGGTGCAGGAGGGGTGAGAGGATTCGCCAGAGACAAAGTGGGGAGCAGACTGACTGAAATACACTGCTGAGGGGAGCAGTGTCAGGAGAAGTCTGCCATGCCATGTGGGTCACCCACTGGCCGGGGAATTAAATTCAGGCTGCAGGAGCTGCAGTAGCCCCATAGTGCTATGCTTTAACCCTTTGCACCACTAGGGAGGGACCTCAAGGTTGCAACTCTTAAGTGTTACTTCATTAGAGACTTTTATGAGCTCAAATATCCTTCCAGAGAAGTCTATCTTACCTCATGTGGACCATCTAGTAACCAAGGAGATGTTATCTCCTCACTATGAAGAGTCAGTGTGTGGTGTTCACTGATGTCTTGACAAGAAACCATTTCCCCATGAGTTCTAAGGCTTATATACATTTCTCACCTGTTATACTGAGAAGTAGAGAAGGTAGCCTTATAAAACTGCCACAGACTTACACGACAGGCCACTTTTTTTTTTTTTTAAAGATTTATTATTTGTGCATACAGAACTGGGGTACAGGCCAGAGACTCAGGGGTGGCGAAAGACTTAACCAGAGACAGAGTGGGGAGCAGAACAGGCAGATGGACGAAGTGCACTGCTGAGGGGAGCAGTGGGCGGGTCAGGAGAGGTCTGCCACGCCATGTGGTCACCTCCGGGGCAGGCGGGAATCGAACTCATGCGGAAGTGGTTTCAGCTTCTTAGTGCAGTGCTTTAACCCGCTGCGCCACCAGGGAGGGCCCAACAGCCCACTTTTTAAAAAGATTTATTTATGCATACAAGAACTGGGCTGTAGGCCAGATATGCGTGGGGTAGGTGGGGAAGGTGAGAGGATTCACGAGAGACAGTGGGGAGAGAACAGGCGGATCTACTGAAGTATACTGTGGAAGGGAGTGGTGGGTGTGGCAGGAGAGGTCTGCTGAGCCATGTGGGTCAGCTCCCTGGCCAGCTGGGGATAGAACTCATGCTGCAGTGGCTGGCGGCAGTTTGATAGCACTGTTAATCCTTGTGCCACCAGGGAGGCACCTACCCAAGTCCACTCATGTCTCCTGTTGCCTAAGTGCATTCTGAGTGCAAGTAAAGAAAGCAAAAATACACTTCAAAGGTACATTGACTTACTAAGTTTCATGGTACTTTTTAAAAAGATTTTGGTGATACTGTATATAACTGATAAAATAAGCTAGACTAGCAGGCAGATAAACCAGAATGGCAGTTTGTTGTCAATAAGACTGTCACTGCAAAGAGAACTTAATGTCTTCCTAACTGGAGTCTATATTCTCTCCTATGGAAAAGTTTAAAATATAACAGTTTAAAATATAAGTTTGCTTGGGCATCAGGGAGTTAGAATGGGGATGTGACAGCCAGTGTATGAGTTTTTTTTTTTTTTAGGGTTTGGTTTTTAGCAGGAAACCAGAATGTTCACTTCTGCTGGCTGAGACGGCTTGTCTTTGCCACCCTCTCCCAAATGCTAGAGGACACTAACCACTTACTCCTCTTGCCCTGGCTTTGGCTGTATTACTTCCCTTCCGCTAAATCATGTTGTCCTAATCATAATGCAGAGTATTTGCAAGCACTTTTCCTATTGACTTTTGCACCGAGGTGACACTGGTTTGCAACATTGTACAGGTTGCAGGTGTTTTTCACCTTGGTGACTGTTACCATACTGTGCCCACCCCAATCGCCATGTACTTCCATCTTTTGACTTTTAATTTTTACATGATTTCAGATTCATGGGAAGGTTACAAGGATAGTATAAAGAATTCTCAGATACCCCAAGTGTTAACATTTGATCACACATGCTTTATCCTTCTCTGGCATCTTCTCTGTCAATCTCAAGTACAAACTTGGCCATGGCAGTAACAGAGCTAAGGGAGAGAATCAGTTTACTGCACACTCTTCAGCTACATTTTGGATCTTGTGTTTGAGATCCTGTTATTCTATAAAACTGGCATTCTATTCTATTAGCTACACAATTGCCAAAATGACTTAAAACCAAGACTACAAGAAATATTTTGTTTTGAATTCATATAAGATGTAGTATGGTAAAGATCTTTAATACTTGTGGGTTGCAATGAATTTAGCATATTTCTAAATTGAAGTAGGCTTTTATTATATTAACCTTGGTATTAAAAACAAATCTCTGTTCCTTATGAATTACCAAAAGGAGTTTATAGTAGGGTGTTGCATTGCAAGTTTCCACAGAATGCACCAACTACTGCTTCTTGTTACTTTGTAAAAGCCTGAGAACGTTGCTGGCAGCCGGAGCCACTAGCTGTTGTTTACTCTGCTGCTTGTTTCTAAACACAGTGTCTCTTCAGATCTGTTTCAAGTAACACTAAGAGGAAAGTTTTTGTAACAAAAGACTCCAGGTGTTTGAACTGACAATAAAATTTCCTGAACTGACACTGACTTGTAGACTGCAGAGTTAATTTATAACCACCTATGTGTGTGTATTACAAATCTGTAGCTCAGAAATACTCTGTTTTCATGTAATGATGATTCATGTCGACAGAACTTTTTCAGCCCCCAAATGCTCCTCCTGCTTCCTCCTAGTTTATATTCCCACACTTAACTTTAAACCACTTAGCTATCACTGCTTTTCTTCCAACATGGCTGCAACATCTTTCCTGTATCAGTCCTAAAATTTCATTTAGTTCTTACCAGCTATTTGGGATGAGAACGAACAAGTATTTCTTGGCTAATAATTTTAAGAATTACTATTCTTTAGAATTCTTATTTTATGCACCATAGTATGAGAAGCTTGTTTAGTAGCCTGTAAAAAGCTCCTATTTATCTATTCATTTATTTAAATTTAGAAGGCAGAGGCTCTTCTAAATCTTTGTGGCAACCCAAAAAGGAACTGCCAGCTGACATTGATGCACTATTTATAAAGAAAGCTCTTTACCCACAGTGCTTTCTCCAAATCTGAGAGCCAGAAATAGTAAAAATATACATGTCTTCCTCTGATTTCTTTCCTTCTCTCACAGTTGCAGTAGCTGGTGGGGCAAGAGGGGGGTCTGGAACATTTGGTCTTTTATTACTTATGGGACGGCACCAAAGAACTACTACAGATTAAATGTCCTTTAGTATAAAAAATTAATGTCCCAAGAGGCACTATACAACTCCTGGTCTCCACAGCTTTTCTTTAGGCCTCTGGTTCAGTATCTTGAAATAGTGCAGTATTTGCTGTGCGATGCTAAGTTTTTTTCCTCCGCTTGTCTTTCATTTTCCATATTTTTTCAGTTTTGGAAACTTATTCCAATACAAGCAAGACACTAAAGAGAACTCTCTCCAAGACTACGCTTGACTGAATTTTAACTTAAGAGCTGGTTGATCACCAGGTAGCAACTTGAACAGCACGACACTGGGAACAAAAGGGACTCCCTCAAAACTTGGGAGATTTTCAGGGCTTCAAGAGTTTCAAGCCGTCTCTACATTTCCTGTGAAAAATGTATGAGCCCGTCGTCGTCCACCATCTAGATCGCACACCCACGGCTGTCCCAGGGGCTCGCAGAGAATACCTTTCCTCGAATCCAGCTGCTTTGTCCTCTAAGCTCTGGTACCCTGATATATTTATCGGCGAAAACCTAGCCCTAGTCCCAGCCTCCCTTTAAACAAATGCTTGTCTTCTCTGCTAGTAGGAAAACGGAAAATGAAACTAAGTGACAGATGGCAGAGTGATGCAAATGCCAGCTACTATACTAATGAGGGTAATATAAACTAAGAGAATATTGGAGCGCTAAGTGGAAGACGTTCTTAAGCTTTTACAAAGTTACAAGAACCAGCAGTTAGCGCACATCCTGTGGAAACTCATTAAAATAATGGCGAGTAGCGGTGTGAGCACCAAGCGCCTCACAGGGGGTGAGGCGCTGTAGTATCGCTGTTACCGGAACACAAGCGGAAGGAGCAGCGGGTTAGGTTTCGGCCTCTTCTCGCCCTTAGCAGTCTCGAACCTCGTCTATGTGTGCAGATGCCCAGTCTACTCTGCCCTAGTCTTTGCAACTGAAACTGAGTTCCAGACTCACCTACCTGGGGGTCAGTCAGGAAGCCACAGTGCCGTGGACTTTGCGACAGGCGCTTAGCGCGCAGGCGCAGAGTTTAAAGATTCCCGGCCCTGACCTCGGGTCCAGATTCGCGCAGGCGCAGCGCTTCTGCCCGCCCCCGCGCGGTGTCACGTACTTCGGGGAAAGACAGGAGGTCGTCGCGCGCGTCGCGTGTTTTGGACGGTGACTGAGTCGCGCAGTCTGACGCTAGATTGCGTCACTTCCGCCCCCTCCCGGGAGGCGGCGCTGGGCCGGTGGCAAGCCCCCGGAGGGAGCCGCAGTAGTACGACGGAAGATGGCGACGAGCGGCGGCGAAGAGGCGGTGGCAGCGGTGCCGGCGCCTGGGGCCCCGGCGACGGGAGCGGATACGACCCTGGGCTGGGAGGTGGCGGTGCGGCCCCTGCTGTCTGCGTCCTATTCCGCCTTCGAGATGAAGGAGTTGCCGCAGCTGGTGGCCTCAGTCATCGAGAGGTACCGGGCGGCGGCTCCGGCGGGGCGGGCTCTGGGAGGGGGAGGGGAAAGGAGGTCGGGCTGGATCCTCTGCACCCGCTTTCCCGGCGCCTCCTGCGAATCGGGGGACCTCTGTCCCCGCCACGTCTTCGGGGTTACCCGGCCTTGGAAGACTAGGGCTGGTCCGGGGCACCGTTCTTCAACGCGTGTAAATCATCTGTGCCTCAATTTCCCTCCGGACCGAAACTTTTGAGGATGCCCTCTCGGGTGGGCGTGGCGGGGCACATTTGGGAGTGGCTTTGGCACATTTGGGAGTGGCTTTGAGATGCTTCGCGCCCCCAGAGGATTGTCTCCGGGGCCGCCCCCGATGTTAAGGTCGGAGCACTGATGAGTTTGCATTTCTTGCCCGCACTCCTGCCCCTGGGCTGGGCGGGAATGGAGCCCGATGTTAAAATTGGTGACCTGCTGCAGAATTCAGTAATGGCCTTGGTGGTGGTGTAAGCAGTGGGGGACCGCCGGCTATTTGTGTAGCTTGAAGCCCTAATGACCATTAATGACCTTTTCAGGTTGTACTTACTGTATATTTCAGCTGTAGCGGATTTTGATGAAAAATATTTTAGTGTTAGTTACAGAGATCATCTTCGCATAGAGTGGTACCCGTAAAATACTTTTGGACTTAAAAAATGCAAGTATTGTTTTTATGTGGTTTGGGTTTTGTGTACAATCTTAGATTGTGAGAGTTTGTTGATAGGAGAAAAGCGGGATAGCAGTGTCTGCTCCTGGCTGACTTTGCTCAGAGAGTCTTCTCGTTAGTTTAATGGTGGATATGCTTTTTAAAGCTAGACTCACTTTGATTTTTCTCTGAACTTACGTCAGCACCTCCCTCTCCACGCTCCACCCGCCCTCCTTCCCCCCCAAACTAGGTCGTTTTAGTTTCATACTGATGAGGATATATCTAAATGTTATTCAGAAGGTTAGGGCTTGCCACTACTACTCAGGGGAGGCTCATGCTTGTTTGTTGTAGTGCTTGTTAGATTTATGGTGCTTTAGAAAATGAAATAACGGTTGGGTTTTGTAACTTAACAGTTAATTCACACAGATAGATTTTCCCGTTTAATCATTAAGCCAAGGTGGTTCTGATGCAAGCAAGTATTAAAGATCCTGCTCTCAAATTATAAGTCCTTTTATTTTTAAAAACATTTGGATTAGTGGTATTTTTCGGAAGTGTACTCATAGTGTTACTAATCAATAATTCCACCTTTTAGTTTTTTTTAAAAGATATACTTATGCTTACAGAACTGGGGTACAGGCTGGAGGTGTGGAGAGTGAGAGGATTCCCCAGAGACAGACTGGGGAGCAGAACAGGCAGATCCACTGAAATACACTGCTGAGGGGAGCAGCAGGTGAGACAGGAGAGGTCTGCTCTGTGCTCTGTGGGTCACCACCTGGCCTGGGGAGCAAACTCGTGCTGCAGTGGCTTGGGAGAGCTTCCCAGTGCTTTGCTTTAACCTGTTGCACCACCAGGGAGGGCCCTCCACCTTTTTTTTCTTTCAAAGAACACTTGCTTTTGTGTTTCTATGGACATTGACTCAGTCGGTTATAAAGCCATTTGTTGACACTCCCCAGTACATCTGGTATTCGGAAGCTGCAAACTGTAATAGTTATACATCTTACATCTTAGTCTTTTATCTAAGATCAAGTATAGTTGTTCTTATTAGTTTAAACTACAACAGTAGGTTCAACCTGTGGGAGGAACCAAACCAAGTACATAAAACTGAGTTTAAATTTGGCTTTGTGTTAATGGGCCTTCCTTCACCTGGATTAGCTAAAATAATCAGGAGTTGCCTGTGTTTATAGACACTGGTAAGACCTCTCTTATGGTTTAGAAAAGATGTTCAAACTGACAATTGTTCAGTAACACTTTTATTGTAAGGGAAGATCCTTGAAATCTGATCTGGTTTTTGTGCCATAGTTAACTTGAAAACCTATTATGTGCCCTCTTCAGGCTCTATGAGAAGAGTATGATCTTAAGAAACATTCCAGAAGAAATACTTGGCTTTCTTTATAGTTGAAAGAACTAAATTTATCAAGTGTTCATTTTGGTGTGGAGTGAAGGGTGGCACAGTGGAGGGCCAGCTAGTAAATATTTGCTGACTATGTGGTTTCTCTGTGGATTCATTGGCTTGGCTATTGATTGGTGGAAACAATCATACGCAGTATGTAAAAGAACACAACTTTTCTTATGGACACTGAAATGGGAATTTCATATTTCATGTCACAAGATAAATCGCTTTGATTTATATTCAGTTCCCTCAAATGTAAAAACCATTCTTAAATGGTTGTACAAAGCTCGTTGCTGTTTGAATTGTCCTTTGTCAACTCCTGGTTTAGAAGTAACAGATTAGTATCCTGCCATTAATACTTCTCAGAAGTTCTACTTGCCTTTCAAAAAAAATATGAAATAAGGGTATGAGGATTGTGGAAGAATTTTTTCAATGTCAAGTTACAGTCAGTGAGGTATAGGGTACTGATGACTTTTTGCTGCTAACCAGGGTTAGGTGCCTGGCTTCTCCTTTACTTTTGCAGTTATCCTATTTCTTCTTTCCAGTGCCTGCCTGACTGTTCTTCCTTGCCTCCAGGGATCTTCTGTTTTTCTGTTGTAGTCTTCTATTTTCGGCTTCCCTTTCTGACATCCTGCCTCCCTCATGCCAGCTCTCTCTTTTTGGCATTTTGCTCATCCATTGAATTTCCTTTTGACTATTGGGGATCATGACACATTCCCTGAGAGATACCTTAGTATCTGCCGTGTCTATTGCCTGTCTCGATTTTTTTCATAATTTTATATTTGAAATTAACCTTTTGGTTTGAGGGAAAGTTAGATTAAAAAATTACTAGGTTTTGATGCTGTTTTATAAATTTGATCTTGTAACCAAATAGTTAAACAAAGGCTATATAGATTGGCATGGATAAATTGGGAAGCATAGTCTCCAAAGTGTCATTAAGATTTTCAAAAGAAAAAGATACTTGAGTTTTCTTAAAGGAGAGTTCACTTTTCATTTCTACTTCCTGTTGGTAGCTTGCTTTAGTAAAGATTTAAAATGAACTTTTCTGGACCAAAATTGGACCTAGAACTAGTTTGATACATGCTTAATCCCACAACATATATGTGGGATTAATTAATATAATTGTGGAATATAGCCATGATTAAGGGTACTGTTAAACAGTTTCCTTTCTCAACTGCAGGATGTGTTGATGAGCATGGTTGTCAACTGCATTACTTGACTATAGTGCCAAAAAAGTCCCTTTTACCCCGAGCCAATCCTTCCACTCTATCTTGGCTTCATAGGTGATAAAATCTCTTTGAGAGACTGCTTCCTCACTGTTTGATAAATTTAGGCCAGTTAGAGCATAGCACTATGAAGCTAGCTGTGGCTGCTTTAGCATGACTTCGATCCCTGGCCAGGGAGCTCACCCACAGGCGCACAGCAGACCCCTCCTGTCTGCCTGCTGCTCCCCTCAGTAGTGTACATAGTCAGTCTGCCTGTTCTGCTCCCCACTGTGTCTCTGGTGAATCCTCTTACCACCCCTGCACCTCTGGCCTGTTCCCCAGTTCTATATGCATAAATAAATAAGTCTTTAAAAGGAAAAAAATATAGGCACTTAAAAAAAATTAGGCCAAAGAGAGGTACTTGGGAAGGGAGAAGTTGTTACGTCATCCCCATTAGATAATGCACAGTCATTGCCAAAATTTTAAAGAGGAGGAGGAGATGCACTGACGTGACTGTCCTTTTCTTGAGATTGACCTACAGAAAAAGAAATGCCTCCTACCAGGCAGTAGAGTTTAATTATGAGATTAGGCCTCATGTTAATGTTTCTTTGTTTTAGTGTCACGTTCATCATTGGTTTGTCAAAAGTGAGATGTATCAGAAAGCTTTACTTTGGCTGGCACGTATTAGATGCTCTGACACAGGAGATGTTTGTGATGTGAGTGTGTGTGTGTGTGTGTGTGTGTGTATAAATGAATGTAATTCATTACACTTGTTTCATGGGTATGGGGATTTTGGATTCTGTACTTGGAAATTGATGAATCTGATCAGGGGAAAGTAGTCTGTGGAGTTTCCACAGTTCAAAAACAGTGTGAATACTGTGCTATCCTAGGGAGAAGGGAGGCAGTACTCAGTCCTTTATGTCGCCCTCTCAGATGTCTCATTACTACTATTTTTTTAAATCTATTTATGCACACAAGAGCTGGACTGTAGGTCAGAGGTGTGGGGGTTGAGAAGATTGACCAGAGACAGAGTGGGGAGCAGAACAGGCAGGCTGACTGAGATACACAGCTGAGGGGAGCAGTGGGCAAGACAGCAGAGGTCAGCAGACCTCTGCTGCGCCTTGTGGGTCAGCTCCCTGGCTGGGGATCAAACTCATGCTGCAGTGGCCGGCAATAGCTTAATAATGCTGTGTCATTAACCCCTGCTCCACCAGGGAGGGCCCCCTCTCAGATTTCTGTCTCTTCCTTATAAAGATACTTCTGGACCCTAACTGGTTCTTTTTTTTTTACTTAGATATCAAATTGGATTTCTCTGACCTGGCTGCTTAGCTGCTGTTTCCTGGTGTCTGCATCATGTTTCTTTAGTGATGCAATAGATGGAATAGAAAAACCTCAGATTCCATATCTTTTCTCAGCATTTCATGTTCATTATTGCTGTTGCAGTGTTGGTTAGAGTCAGCAGGTGATTAAGGAAGTTAGTTTGAAGGACCAGAGAAGAGGCGTTATTTTTTGCCTTTTAAGTTTTCCTATTTTTCTTCCTCTGTGTTAGCTTTGCCTTCAGTTTCTTCATTCTTATCCTTTACTGACTTACTGCCTTTGTTCTGTTTTTTTTTTCTTTTCTATGCACCTTTTGGTGTTAGATTCCTGAGGAACAAGGGATGGGACCAGGGAGTATAGAAGTGCATCTTTATTTGGTGACTCATGCACATCTTTGTTTTAAAATCAAGAGATACCGTGCTGTCCTTTGGGCCACAGGACCACATGTCTCTTCCTCCAAGTCATTTTAAGAACCAGTTTATCCAGGTTTATCTTGAGTTGTCCTAAGTAAAACTCAAGATTGCTCCATTTTCCCCTCTGCTGTCCGTCTTTCTGCAAAGTGCATTTTTCTGGTTTCTGTATTAGAGTAAGGCAGTTGTGTATTTCTAGGGCAATAAATAGGGTTTGTTTAATCAGGGGAGCAGTATTCAACCAGACAACTAGTCGAATTTACTCCAATATTTTGGATAATCATTATCTGAATGGGAATGAAAACAGCAGAGTAAGTTCACCCTTTGGCAGTTTTTCTTAGTTTTGGTAAGCCTGTTTAATTGAAAAAACTGGTAAGTGCTCTGAGTATCTGAAATCAGAGAAGGTAAATAACTCGTTGAGTATAGTGTCAAAGTACACCCGGGGTCTCCCTGGTGGTGCAACACATTAAAGCGCAGCACTGTGACGCTGTCGGCAGCCACTGCAGCACGAGTTCCATCCCTGGCCAGGGGGGTGACCCACAGGGCGCAGCAGACCTCTCCTGTATTGCCCACTGCTCCCCTCAGCCATGTGTTTCAGTCGATCTGCCTGTTCTGCTCCCCGCTCTGTCTCTGGTGACTCCTCTCACTACCTGCATCTCTGGCCTGTACCCCAGTTCTTGTGTGCATAAGTAAATAAATCTTTAAAAAAAAAAAAACACCCAGCATCAAAGCACAGAGTGGGAAAACACGTATTATGGGAATCATACGTGGGAAAAAAAAACAGGGATGAAAGTAAAGAGTAACTAAGTGTGTGAGGTAGAAACGGGATTTTTAGTGTAGGGTGTTTTCTGCTGAGATGATGTGATGTTTAGCAGCGTGGTGGTCACCAGAAACTTTTGAGTTCTACTTGCTGTTCAGAGGTTTTGTTTCCTCCCTTTTCTCCCTCTGCAAAATAGGGAAACATGATCTTTGGTGGGCAGGAAGGTCTTTGTACATAGTAGGTACTTCATAAATATTTTTTCTTGGCAAAAGGTAATTCCCAAACAAGGAACTGATCTTTGATGTATACTCATATATCCTTGAAAAATCCCTAAATGGCAAAGTGTTTGCAACTCTAGACTCTTGGTGTTGCTTGAGGTGATTTACCTCTGATGTTGGCACCTTCTGAATGTTGAAATTGTCTTTTGACTCCTGTGTTGAGTTGGGAGGTAAGTGAGTAGTCTGATTTTAGTGACCCCTGACTGTGTTTATATTTCCCTTCCCAGGCTGATACTTCCTGTTGGAGAATTAACTCACCTAGAAAACTGGTTACCTACATCACTCTCTTCCTGTTAATAAATACATTTTAGTCTTGTGCTTATCTGCTTTCATGGATTGTAGGTTAGCATCTGATTGAAGCAGAGAAAGAAGTAAATATCCAGCTTAGCCTCCAGAGTTTTACAGAAGGAGGCTTAGCTCAAGATAAGGGACATGGTTACATTTGTTGGCTCTAACTGTGGCCCTACATCAAGGAAGCGGGGGCCCTGGTAGCAGTGAACTTTGAATTTAACACTGATCAAATCAAATCACTTTGAGTGCTTCCCCCTTTTTTTGCATCATAGACTAGACTATTTTTGGTTTTCAGAATGGGCTGCTACAACTGAGACCTCTCAGAATAGTCTGTCTTCTGTTGGCTGCCACATGGCATTGTGAGCCTGTGGTCTTTGCAATCAGTAATACTGAATACTTTGATATCCTGTTACATCCTTACTTGCATTTCTTTATTTCTAAGTGAGTTTGAAAATGTTTCTGATTAGCCCCTGCCACTTATTAAGCCTTTTAGTGTTGAAGAAAGTATTTAATTTTAAGTATTCTCCAATCTGTATTTCCCCAGTCTTGACTGTATGAATGGTAACAGTGCCTAACAAGTAGGATTGCCGTAAGGGTAAAATGAGGCAGGGCCTCTAAAGTGGCTCTAGTGGACAGTAAACACTGAGTGAGTGCTGACTGGGTTGCTTTCTTTGCAGTGAATCAGAAATCCTGCATCACGAGAAGCAGTACGAGCCGTTCTACTCATCTTTCGTTGCGCTTTCCACACACTATATTACAACAGTCTGCAGCCTCAGTATGTATCCACTCTTGTGCTCCTCTTGGGGCTGGCGAATGGGTTCTTGGGTACCCCTTTGTTAAGCTGCCTGAACAGTTAGTTAATGTCTGTGTGTTAGCGCTCCTCCCTGTGCGCCCAGAGTGGAGGCGCTTGTCAGCCTGATAGGTGCCGGAAGTTCCCAACCTTAGCAGCCAGTGGGATTTAAAAACTACAAGGCTTGGACACTTGCTGCCTAACCATTGAGTTTACTTTCCTTACCTCAATGAAAATATTTCACTCATTTCACACATGTAATTACTAGTGTGCTAATTTCTTTGGGGGTGGGTAGATAATAGCCTGGAGTTGCAGCCACTAACCAAAGCTCTCTCACTTACTTGTTTTTAGAGAAAGTGATTTCTCTTTGGTAGGTGAAGGGATTTCAACACGGGTCCCTATTTCTAGAAAGTTTTACACCCCAAAAGTGGCCAAGCCCTTAAAAAATTTTGTGTTTTCCATGGGTGATTTGGTGATGGGAAGCCCATGGGATTACAACTGAGATGGAAAAAGGCACAAAATGATGTAAAATAAACTAGTATATTAAAATAAAAGAAAGCATTAAAATAAAATAATTTAAAAAATGGTTAATCTGCCTAGAAAAAAAATTTTGTCTTTTCATTTTATTTTTCAATCCCCAGACAGTTCTGGAGAATTCTGATTATTGGCGTATTTAGTTTGCTAAGCAAGTAAACAGAAAGGAAACCATAGAGTTGTTGAGTAGTATTTCAGTGTCCAGTGCTGTTCACTAGTGAAAGAATCATTTTTGTATTGAAGAAACTTTTTGTAAGAACCTGCAGAAAGGCATTTAGAACCTATGAGAAAGAGAATTACTACCATGGTTAAGAGCTTGACCTCCAGAGCTAGACTTCCTGGGTTTGAATTAACTCTGGCCTCGGATAGGTCTTTTAGTACTCTGTTCTTACAAACGTGTGTTTAAAAAAAAGAAATATGAGGGGATTGATAATAATAATAATGAGCTGAGTTAGGATTAAATAAATAAATATATTGAAATGCCTGGTACGTACTGTCATGTAAGTATTTTCAGTTACAGTTATTTTGATTGTTAGTAAATATAAATTGATGTAGAAAAATTGATGCTTGTCAATGCCAAGATACATTTGTTTGCCCCTTGGGTAGTTGGGTAGTTGGTCCTGAATAATTCCTGTCATAGGATGATACTGGGAATGTTGGACAGAATACTGGTACTTGTTTGATATGTTGAATGTTTGCAGTCTCTAGTTTAGTAAAGCATATTTCTTTCTCAGTTCCCCGGAATCAGCTTCAGTCCGTAGCAGCAGCTTGTAAAGTCCTGATTGAATTTTCTCTCCTGCGTCTGGAGAATCCAGATGAGGCTTGTGCTGTGTCTCAGGTGAGTGATGGGCCTTTTCTGGCCCTTACTTTGAGGTTGGAAAAATGCCTAATTAGTGGAATTGATGGAGGAAGACTGACAGAGCAAAGAAGGGGTAAACATTTGCTGTAATAGGCCAGTTAGTAAATCCTTTGTGGGTTGTCCAGTCTGCTGTGACTAGTCTGTCTTTTAAGCTCTTCCTTTGTACTGCGAAAGCATCACAGAAAATATGTAAATGAATGAATGAAACTTTATTTACAAAAATAAGCAGTGGTCTGAATTGAGGCTCTAATTTGCCACTCTTGAGAGAGCTGTGGAAGTTACTTCATGGACGCGGAGGATTGGCTACAGGTGAGAGGCGGGTCAAACACAGGGAGTAAAGTGTTGAGAGGTCTCATGACTCAGCCGAAAGGCCAGTCACAGTAACAGCTGGCCATTGCAGTGGAGGCTCAGCGCAGTTCCATCTTGTGAATTATTGGTACAGATAAAAACTCTGGATTTGGATGCACAACCTTTCGTAAAGAAAGTTGACATTACTTCAAATGAAGGAAAAAAAGCCCATCAGAATAAGACAAATGTGTGAACCATGTACAGGTTGAGGACCAACAGTCTGTGTTTCAGTGTTCTTTCCTGATTTGTAGTTTTGACGTGACAATAGACCCTGTGCCATATACAGTTCCCAAAAGAGCAGATCTTTTTAAAGACATACTTGAATTTTTCTTTTCAGAAACACTTGATTCTTTTGATCAAGGGCTTATGCACTGGCTGTAGCCGGCTAGACAGAACTGAAATAATCACATTTACAGCGATGATGAAATCGGCCAAGCTGCCTCAGACAGTGAAGACACTCTCGGATGGTAGGTGAACTTTTGCCACAACTGGTTACTGGCTACTTCTCTGCCCAGGGTTTTCCTGTTTTGTCTTTACTCATCTATTTTGCGTGTATGTGTCTTTTTTTTTTTCCCAGTGGAAGATCAGAAAGAGCTGGCCTCTCCAGTTAGCCCTGAGCTGAGGCAGAAGGAAGTACAGATGAATTTTTTGAACCAGCTGACATCAGTTTTTAATCCTAGAACTGTAGCATCACCTCCTGTTGGTCCACAGACTCCGGTGAGTTACTTCAGTGGAATGTTCTTACCTTGTGGGACTTAAGATAATATTAGAAAAAAGTAACAAATGTACTTTATATCGGTGATGTTAAATGGTCTTACACGCCTATGTCAGAAACAAGATCGGTGAATTCAAGGCAAATGGAAGCAAAACCCCAACTCCTTTTGTCGAGTGACTACAATTTTGACTACCATTCCATTTTTTAGGGCAGAGGAACATAGCAAAGAGCATCTTCCCTTTTCCACAGAATTACTTTTACCAGTTGGCAGACACATACACACCACACTCCCCCTTGCATGCATGTGCACACACACTTTTTAAAGTATATTTTCCCTCTTGGGGACAATAACTTGTGTTATGTATTCCCACAGAGAGAAGCTATCCCTTGTTAACTGGAACATATGTCCAAGGTGCTGCTACTAATTTGGGACATTTTATTTCTGAATTCCAGGGCAGAGACACATAGTGTCTTCCAGGCCTCTCACATTCTTTGTTTCTTTTCAGGCGGAAGGGGAAAATGATGAACAGTCATCCACAGATCAAGCCTCTGCTATCAAAACCAAGAATGTGTTCATAGCTCAGAATGTGGCTAGTCTTCAAGAGCTTGGTAAGATTGATCATTGTCAAAAGGCTGGTTTCTCTGCTTTCAAAAATTCCTTAAGTGTACAAGAATCAAGCAGCAGACATATCTTGTTTGTAAGGTTGAGCCTTTCATTAATCCAGGTGGCTCTGAGAAGTTGCTGCGTGTGTGTTTGAACCTGCCTTACTTCCTGCGCTACATCAACCGGTTTCAGGATGCAGTGTTGGCCAATTCCTTCTTCATCATGCCAGCGACAGTAGCCGATGCCACTGCTGTTCGTAATGGGTACGGTGCGCCAGTGTGCATGTACTTCACATTCTGATGCTGCTCGCAGAGAGAGAAACTGGTTCCTTTTGATGTCATCCTGACTTTATCACATTGTAGAAGAAATGATTTGAAGACGTTTTTTAATCTTCTGCTGTGTTATGTTCCAGTTTTCACTCGCTGGTGATTGATGTAACCATGGCACTGGATACTCTCTCTCTACCTGTGTTGGAACCTCTCAACCCTTCTCGTCTGCAAGATGTGACAGTGCTCAGCCTAAGTTGTCTCTATGCGGGTGAGAAGTTGTGTCTGTTCTCATTTTCGTAGGCAAGCACATGTATACTGCTTGGAAGCCGTGCGCGCCTTCTGAGTTCTCTAGCTCTCTTCCGTTTACTCTTTTTTCTCCAAGGATCATCCAGTATGTCATCTAGGTAACATTCAGTCTCGGTAGTGATCTTTGTTGTTCTGTTGTTCATCTGCTGGCCTTGTGTGATGTGCACATTTGACTTCATAGTATATGCAGATAGTGTCTATGAAGAGCACAATTTCAAGTGCTGTTGGCAGTACTGAGATGAACACTGTACTCGCTGCCCTCAAGAAGCAGTAGAGACCAGAACTACACAGTGTAGGTACTATGAAATAGGAGATGATAAAAGCAGTAAGAAAAGTACAGCATGTTAGGGGCGGACGAAGAAGGTAGAGACCGACTCTGAACTGTGAGAGGGTGGAGGATGATTTAACGACCAGGTGGTGTCCGTACAGGTAAATAGAGTCTATGACTATTCATGTTCTTTGAAGAGTCCCCCTGTTGATTGTGTAGGCCTCACGGCTGTTTATAATCTTAAGTTACTGGTACAGTAACTTTTTTTGCACAATCATATTTTGTACTCTGATAGTTGCTTGTATAGTGACCTAAATTTTTTATTTTGCACGGAGATACAGTCCAAGTCAGTTTTTATAAGCTTTGCTCTTCAAGCTCATGTTAGTATTGTTTAGGGCAGAGTCCTCATCTGACCCAGAAATGACATGAAGGGACAAAATCCAGAGTGAGGTGTGGGTGTCAGGAGTTAAAGAGAGACTGGCAGGCCATCGTCCAGCTCTCCTGTGTGGCAAACGGGAGGGAGGAGAGCTCAAAATATCTTAGAAAACCAAATGGCAGGACCTCCCTAATGGTGCAGGGGTTGAAGTCAACACTGTCAAGCTATCGCCAGCCACTGCATCATGAGTCTGATCCCCTGACCCACATGGCACAGCAGACTTCTCCTGTCTCACCCGCTGCTCCCCTCAGCAGTGTATTTCAGTCTACCTGTTCTGCTCCCCACTCTGTCTCTGGTGAATCCTCTCACCCCCAACAACTCTGGCCATTTCTTCAATGCATAAGTGAATAAATGAATCTTTAAAAAAAACAAAAAGCAACCAAATGGCACCTGTAACTTAGCCTTATACAAAGGTTAGGCTGGTAGATTATGAATCTATGATGTTCAAAAGTGAGAAAAACAGAAGACAGAAATCTTGTGGGTCTTCTTTTGCTTCCTTGCTTTTGTGGAATAGTTCTTCAAGAGGGGTGAGGATAATCTCTATACATTTAACTTTCTGTGTGAGAGGGTGCCTCATGATATATGGTCAGGTCATGTCAGTGTCTCAAGGCAAGTGCTCCATTCTGCTTTCAGCAATGATGAGTGGGGTGTTGTATGGCTGGAAAGAAAGAAATGGGAACTAGTCATACTAAGTCATTTGGACCATAGCATATAGGTGTAGAGACCAGTTAAAATCCAGTGAGAGATTTCCTTGTCTGCTGTGCCGCTGATTATGGGAACAGATCTAAGAAGGAAGGGCTTGTTCTCCCAGGTTTTCTGAGTTGCTCATCCTGAGTTTATTGCCCCTCTTCAGAGGGCCTCTAGTATATGTGTCAAAGCAGCAACAGTCTGGCCACTGCATGGCTTTCAGAAACAAAGCTCATAGTGGGGCATGCTCAGGAGATGGCTTAGGGCTGAGCTGGCTCTGGAGCGTGGGCTGGGACCACAGGGGCCTGGCTGGGGAAACCTGCAGTAACTAGACATAATCTTGCTGTGTCTAGGAAAGTGTAACGATTTCTGATGTTTACTGGTTCTGCAAGTGAGAATTTGAATAGTCATAGGAGCATTACCTTGAGATCCCCAAGAAGTTACTGAGAGTGACCATCTTTCTGTAGTGTTTGAGCAACTTTATTTTGAACAGCATATAAAGATAGAGTACTTTCAGTTGGGGAAGCTAGTCGTGAGTAGTTCTGTTGCTGTATCTGACAGGGCAGATAGGGTTTCACCTTGTCTGTCCTTTGGCAGAATCAAAAGCAGGTCCAAAAGTATCCTAAAGTCTGGGTAACCTGCCCAGACTAGAACATGTGTGTGAGAGACATTAGTGGGGTGTTGCATAGCTGGAAAGAAGTGGGAGCTAAGTACACTAAGTCATTTGGGCCATGTCCTGTAGATGTGGAAATCAGTACAATTTTTGCAGTGTTTGTAATCTGAGCTCTATTTTATGAGGAATATTCAGGCAGTAGGAGGCAGGATATTTGGTGTGGGTGTAGGAGGCCTGAGCTTCAGCAGCAGCAGCAGCAGCAGGAACGGAAAGCTAGGGATTGTAGGCACATGCGCCCCTCCAGGCCAGTCCCCACTGTTTGGTTCCTAGTCCTCTATCTTTGATACTTGCATTTTT